CCTTCCCATCTTGTTGACCACATGCACTCATTCTGTTAATGTTTAAATAAACAAAACACAACACGTGTGCTTCATAAGGACCCTGCTCTGCTTTCTGTAGCAATTCCTGGAGACATGAAGAAAGCAACAAATTCAAGTCCCAGTGAGGGAACTGATCATTGTCGTGGAATTTATTACTTCAGGAAACTGCGGCGTATATCAATAGCTACCAGGCAAATAAAGTTGAAAGCACTGAAAGTCTGTGGTATCTGGAGCAGCTGCAGGCGGGACTTGATTGAGAAGAACTTTCCACATTGTTGGAGAGTATGCAAGACTCCTCCATGAAGACAACCCTCCAGAAGACAACCCTCCATCAAGACAACTATTCATGAAGACAACTCTCCATGAAGGTAACCTCATTTGTTGCCAAAATACTTTTCTGTTGCTCAAATTCAACTAAATGTATAAGAAAAAAAAGTTCATCTGTATAAAATATTACTCTTACTGTTGTGATAAGCTACATTTCATTGTACAAACTATTCTTGGAAGGCACTTTACACGTCACTGTCTTAAAGCTTCTTCAGGTGCTGACATACTAACAACCTCATTGTCTGTAGATGACGCATCTCTGATTATCCTGGTGATCTCCATCTTTCTACTTTCATTGTCCAACTATATTTCTCTTTTTATTAGCTACCTGTTTGAGTTTTCTTGATTAATTACTTTATAAGTAACCTTTATAAATAAGGGCTACCAATATTTATCACATATATTACACACACTAAATAATAATGTGTGATCATGTGCTACATTTTTAAAATTAAAATAGAGCAGTACTTGAAATTATCTAGCCTGTATTTGAGATATTATTTAGCAAAAATTCTCCTGAAACATTATTTATATGTTGAGAGTTAAGAAAACCCTCTATTGCATATTTTGTTTATATTCCTTATAACTATCATGTTTATTTGAAATTATCTTGCATATATTTGAAATGTTATTTAGCTAAAATTTTCTGAAAAGTCATCTAAATTTTGAGAATTAAGGAAAATCCTACATTACATATTCTGTTTACATTCACCGTAGTTATTGCATTGTCTAATGTAATTTTAATATGCTTTCTGCATATATTTTTAATACTGAAAGTTGTTATACTTTTGCCAGATCTCAGTTTATACTATCACTTAGAGACGGTATTCTAAGCTGTGATAAATATTTATGCTCGTGTATTGTCATTGGCAAGCGTGTTCCATCTATCACTGTCACAGTGTCCTTAACCATATAACTAATGAACAGGGCACCCTGCATAGATTGTATGGGCAGGAAGTTGGTCTACATTGTTATTCCTGCCCTGCACGGTGGGTGGACTGTCTCTTGGTTCCACAGGAGCAAGAGCACCCCCCGACAACAGAATGCGAAGCAAAGAGGTCTGCAGACTGCATTTCTCCGCGAGGACGAGGGAACGATAGAAAAAGACAAAGAGGAAAAGAAGGAGGTGGAGAAAACTGGCCAGAGTGGTCACAGCAGATCTCAGGACAGCGGCAAGGACGGCGCGGAAGGTCTGACCAGCAGTGCCGTGCACGGCAGAGAGGAAAATACGTGGAGACAGAAGAAAACGCGTGGGGTTGGCCTGGAGCAGTTCATGAGCCTAGTGGGTGATTCCACGAGAAGCAGCAGCTAAGGATCCAGGAGAGGCCGCGCTTCTTGGAGCAGCACCCCGCAGGAAAGGAGGTGGTACAGGGTCATGGAGACGCTGGGAGGGGCAGGTGATCCCTGAGCCAGGGAGTGAAGAGAGGAGGGACTGTGGAGCAGGTGCTGTGAGTTTTACTTCTTGGACCCTGAGAAGTTGAAGGAGTTCACGTAGAATGGCCGGGATTTTCCCAACAAGGTGGTTCAGGGGTGCGGAGAAGGCATGAGAAGAACGTCACCGTGTACCTGCTGCTGAATCAGAAAGAGACCCTTCAGCAGGTGAGAAACAGGGCAGGTGGGCAGAGGGCCAGGAGCAGGGGCTGGTTCCCAGCCTGGGGGCTTTATTTAGCGTCATCGTCTGCCTGGACACAGGACAGAGCCTATGGGTGGCCATGAGGATGCTGAGCTGGGCGTTTTATGGAGGTCATTGCATTAACACAAGGAAGGGGAGATTCGGGGAAATTGTCGTTCAGATGACTCATCACTGTGTCTCAGATTGACCGGGATTAGGATTTCAAAATATTAATTTGGGGGAACACAAACATTCAGTCCATCATATCCAAGGACACTGAAAGAAAACCATTTAGAAGAAGCTAGAAACTACTCAGGTGAAGTAGAAGGAAGTATGTGACATCTTAGCCAACTGCCATCTAAGACAATAATTCAAATCTTTCTCTCTGCCACGGTCAGTCTTCTTAAGCCATTCTTGTTCAAATCATCAAATTATTGGGTGGATTGTGTCTGGACGCAGAAACTAGGACTTGCGTTTTAAGAATCTCACCACACCCAGCTAGAGTGGCTCAGTGGTTGAGCGTCGACCCTGCACCAAGAGGTCGCTGGTTCAATTCCCGGTCAGGACACATGCCCAGGTTGTGGGCCTGATCCTCAGTGGGGGGCGTGCAGGAGGCGGCCAATCAATGTTCAGTGTCCACTCTCATTGATGTTTTTATCTCCCCTCTTCCTTCCTCTCTCTCTCTAACATCAATAAAGAAAAGAAAAAATAATAATAATCTCACTATAAAGCATGCATGATGAACATCCAACCCCTTTGGGCTTAGCTGTCCGTTCCTGACCCTTTGGGCTTAGCTGTCCATTCCTGACCCTTTGGGCTTAGCTGTCCGTTCCTGACCCTTTGGGCTTAGCTCTCTGTCCTTGACCCTTTGGGCTTAGCTGTCCGTTCCTGACCCTTTGGGCTTAGCTGTTCGTTCCTGACCATCCAAATGGAAGTTAATACTTACGTACTATTGTCACTGTGCAAAGAAGACACAGAGAACTTACAACGTGCACATTCTTGAGTCACTGGGCCATCTCTGGAAGTACACAAGGCCACCTCTTTTCTTCCAGCGCCGTCTTCTCCGCAGACACGGAGCATCATCTTCCGCTCGTGTGAACTCTGTGGGGGCGTGGAGATGGGCTGGAGCCCGGGAAGCAGCATTTGGAGAGCCCTGCGCTGGGTCTGCTGGAACTGGTGCCACAGCCTCAACAGAGTGGCCATCACCGCGGCAGCCGCACCCCTGTCCCCCATCAAGTCCCTCGGAGGCTCCTTGCACGTGCCGGAGGTGCCCGTGTTCTCAGCGCACAGAAGCCGCACTTCCCCAGGGCAGAGTGCCTGTCCCTCCGAGGCTGAATGGAAACTCAGTGCTGGGAGTGTGGCCACAGGAAGCCACCAGCAACTGGCCGATGCTCCTGGACTCTCTGAATGTCCGTCCCCTTCTCGCCTACCGTGTCTCCCCTTGAACTGGAACCTCCGCCCTCTGCTGTCAGGGCCATTTCGTGCTCCCTTTGCGGCACCGAAACGTGGACGGTAAACAGGGTCTATTTCTTCTGCTGTGTGTGTCTCTTCCTCTCCGCAAGCGTTAGAATTTGACAGAAGTTTGGGCACCGGCCCGAAGCTGGCCAGGGCAGAGCTCACCAGATTTCTCGGTTATTTGTGCTTAATAGCTTGCTGGCAGCCCTGTCTGTTCTAGCCGCTTGGCAGCGTTTGGTCTCTGTTCCCTTGGCCCTGTTCCCTCAGTTCTGAACACTCAGGTAAATTTATGTAGAGAGCTTCTAAATAGTCCATTTTTCGAGCACCGGATGTAAAAATGACCAGCTGACCCTGTCCCATCCAGCAGCCAAGAAAAGCAGCCTTTGTTGTAATCAGTAGTCACTCACTGCAGATAGACTTTGACTCTGTATTTGCAAGTCCGATGACATACAGTAAAAGCCTGCAGAAGGTACTTCTGTGAGTGTGCAGGACCTCGCTGTGCAATAATCAGTGAGAGAGACGGATGAAGCACAAACGCACTTAACAAAATGCAACGTGCACTGCAACGCACAGGATCTTGGCCGCGCGCCGCAGTGACCCTGACCTGTCTTATTCGTTTAACTCAGTCTTAGCTCAGGAAACGGGTCCCCGAGGAGGCCGCTGCCCGGTGATCAGGTGACCTGCTGCTGTCCTGGGAGCTCTGAGTGGGACATTATGTTCAGGTTGCACAGCTCAGCTATGGCCCCCGGCCTGGGTGCATTCGAGTTCACCGACACCCTTCTGGTGCAGAGATTCATCTGGGTGCTGGTATCTGCTCAGTAGTTCGTCTTGGCAACTTCTAATTTCATTAACAGAAGTTTAGAGAACAAATAAAACCTATGGAAAGAAAAACCCATTAAAATAGGAAGTCACTCACCGAGGGACCCGGAGAGTATTATGTTCAGTGACATAAGCCAGTCCGAGAAAGACAAGTACCGCATGATCTCACTTATATGTGGAATCTAATGAACAAAATAAAATGGTGAACAAAATAGATTCAGAGACATGGGAGGGAGCAGGGACAGACTGACAGAGCGAAGGCAGGGCATGAAGATAAACAACCCAAGGACACCGACAACAGAACAGTGGAGGTGGGTGGGGTGGGGAAGAGGGGAGGACGGTGTCAATGGGGGACAAAGGAGGAATATCTGCCACCTTGTCAAAAATAGAAATAAAAATTGTAAAAATTAATTGTAAAAAAATAGGAAGCCAGTCACCAGCATGTCCCTGCAGACCCACTCACCCGTCTACCCGACGGTGCCCAGCCTGGACAGAGGGCACTCCGCGGTCAGACACACTGGACCTCAAGGTCGTGGGCTACGGATCTGAATAATCTACGTTAGCATTTAAGATGCGCATTAGAAAGCTTCAGAAGAAATGTAACACCTTGTTAAGACTCAGCTCTATGTTGTGGGATTTTTGAAAACACTGATGACATATCACCGGGGCAGGTAGCACAGGGCTCAGCTGTCCCCCAGAGGGGCCTCAGCCCAGGTCTGCCTGGCCCCAGGGTCACCACTGCACCGTCCTCACCCTGTGCTGCTTCATGGTTGAGCCGTGCTCCCGCCGTCCTACCCTGTGCCGACTCATCCTCAAGCTGTATAGCCCCCGTCCTCCCCCTGTGCCGACTCACCCTCGAGCTGTACACCCGCCGTCCTCACCCTGTGCCGACTCACCCTCGAGCTGTACACCCGCCGTCCTCCCCCTGTGCCGACTCACCCTCGAGCTGTACACCCGCCGTCCTCACCCTGTGCCGACTCACCCTCGAGCTGTACACCCGCCGTCCTCCCCCTGTGCCGACTCACCCTCGAGCTGTACACCCGCCGTCCTCCCCCTGTGCCGACTCACCCTCGAGCTGTACACCCGCCGTCCTCACCCTGTGCCGACTCACCGTCAGCTGTACACCCGCCGTCCTCACCCTGTGCCGACTCACCGTCAGCTGTACACCCGCCGTCCTCACCCTGTGCCGACTCACCCTCGAGCTGTACACCCGCCGTCCTCACCCTGTGCCGACTCACCCTCGAGCTGTACACCCGCCGTCCTCACCCTGTGCCGACTCATCGTCAGCTGTACACACGCCGTCCTCGCCTGTGCCGACTCACCCTCGAGCTGTACACCCGCCATCCTCCCCCTGTGCCGACTCACCCTCGAGCTGTACACCCGCAGTCCTCCCCCTGTGCCGACTCACCGTCAGCTGTACACCCGCCGTCCTCACCCTGTGCCGACTCACCGTCAGCTGTACACCCGCCGTCCTCCCCCTGTGCCGACTCACCCTCGAGCTGTACACCCGCCGTCCTCACCCTGTGCCGACTCACCGTCAGCTGTACACCTGCCGTCCTCCCCCTGTGCCGACTCACCCTCGAGCTGTACACCCGCCGTCCTCCCCCTGTGCCGACTCACCGTCAGCTGTACACCCGCTGTCCTCCCCATGTGCCGACTCACCGTCAGCCGACTCACCGTCAGCTGTACACCCGCCATCCTCACCCTGTGCTGACTCACCCTCGAGCTGTACACCCGCTGTCCTCCCCCTGTGCCGACTCACCATCGAGCTGTTCATGCTGCATCCAGTTTCCTTCTTCACCCCAAACCGGGGATTCCTGTTGGCAATGAGTGTCTCCAGTGACCCTGGTTTACAGTGTTCTATGGCCAGATCACGACCCACGAATTGGAGAGGGTAGGCATTCTTCCTCCTGTAAGCCGCAGGAAAGAGGTGGCATTTGACGCCTCCTGGTAGCTCCCAGGTTGTGCCTCCTGACCCACGCTGTGCACAGGAGATCTCTAAATGTCAGCTGTCACCCAGACCAGGGAATGGGCCAGGCATGAAGCATCCCACTGCACACCCTCAGAAACACACACGCCATTGACGCTTTCCGCGGGCCCTGCTCCGTAAACCCGCCAGCCCGAACCCATGGGCGGATGCGTTCTTTTTCCACAGATACAAGTAGGCCGCATGAAACCTGCTAAACACATCTGCAGATGAGGACTCGTCATCACGTCTCACTGGTAATTGGACCAGGAATTCGGGTCAGCCTGTTCAGAGATGTCCTCGCGTTTTCCTTTGAGTCTCCTCGCGCTGGTTCTGCGTTGGTAGCGAAGGCGGGTTCCGGACCGGCTTCTGGCCATTGTCTCCCAGCTCATTTCCAGCTGCCCTTGCCCGAGCCCTTTACCGTGCTGGGTCTGTGCGTGAGGCACCGAGCCGGGAGCTGGCGAAGGCAGCCGGTCGCAGTGGGCGGAACCGTGTGGGAAAGGAGATTTGAAGTAGGAAAGGCTGTGGCTCACAGCTGCTCCCCTGACACCGTGGGCGGTGAGAGCCTGCTCTCTGGACCCCGTAGGGGATGACAGAGGTCTGGCCTGGCAGCTTCCCCTAGGGCCTCAGTAAGGTCATCTACCCACACGGCTTAGCCCAGTGCCAGGCTCTGTGTGAAACCGGAACACAAGCCAACGACGATTTGCTCCCGTGTTGAAGGCATGGGCACGGAGATGCGTGAACTGGGAGACGGGGGAGCCCGAGAGCACATGGGAAGCGGGCAAGCTCTGTGCACCAGGGCCCACAGCTCCTCCAGCCTGGGAACCTGGGTCGCTGGGAGGGGGGCCGGGGCTGGCAGGTGAGAAGTGTCCTGACTTGCTCCCAGCTGGACGACCCTCTTAGCAGGTGCCCCTTCTCCGGTGGCTCTTCCCAGGGGGCAGCGACCACAGGAGCACCTCCTGCTTCTGAGGATCTGAACCCTGACCGACGCAGCGCAGAATATCATCTGACCCAGGGGACCATCTGCCTAGAGGTGCACACGCAGCCAGGGCACACAATCTTCGTGAGGGAATGCCCTCAATAACCGAGATTGCTTGTTATCAGAGAATAACGTAGGCTATTTGGAACTCTCAGAACATGCATCAAGATGAAGTTCAGCAAATCGTTAAAATGAAGATTGTTTGCATTCACAGGCTTACGCGTGCCACTTGCATCCCATGATTCCCCAAATACAAGCCACCATTTCATGTGCCGAAGGAAACAGACACACATGTGTTCAGAAAAAAGCAACATTTTTTCTTGCAAAAGTTGGCAGGTTCTGTTAAAACCTAAAGTGCTGAGTTGTACTCAGTGTATCAAGCACTGGATTTTGCAGACTCGGGTTCGGCTGAGTGCACAGCTCAGAATTCATATTGACAAGTGCCTGACTCTGTCCTGATGAATAGAACAGGTTGTCAAATTGCCCTCTTTTCAGACAGATTCTGAGAGAAGAAAAGATCCAACAGAGAGAACATCGACGATTCTGGGCTTTTTTGATTTACAGTAAGTGGAGATCAATACCATTTACTTCAATGACCATGCATTGCACCTGTGCTAATTCTTTCCACATCCATGACAACATGTCATTTCCCTAGAAAATGTCCTACCAAATGCAGCAACAACGAGGTCGGCTTTTTATTTTTTGATTAATTTATTTTTGTTACAGATGTTTCTCCTTTTTTCCCCCATTGCCATGAAGAGAACACAGAGTGTCGGATGACCAGATCAGGGCCCAAGAATTGGAGCGTATAGGCGATTCGTAAGGTAGGCTTGTTTGTTTTTGCCTCCCCTCCTGTGAATCTGTATCAATCATATTTCTATAGAAAGGCTTCGATCACCAGTAATAAAAATGAAATTGTGAATGAAAGAGTAGGTACTTGTTAATGAGTTACATTTTATTATAGTCTGGATGAAATTAGAATATTTATGACACCAGGTAAATTGTCTCAAGTTATCTCAACATCTTACACTGAATATAATACATTTTTCTCTGTTTCGGTTGTAAGTGTAATTAACTGGCAAAGGCTGCAGTTATTTGTGGGAAATGCTAAGTAATTCTCTGTATTATTTAAATATATTTCATCAATCCTAAAACCCAAAAACATAATAAATGTCCTTTCCGTTCTTATTAAGCTCACAGGCAGTGGGTCTGGCTCTGTCCCCACACATCTCCAAGTGTCCTGGCTGTTTGTCCCTGGAAACAAGACATCTGTGTTCTGGGTGCCCAGTCTTCTGTAATCACTGCAGCGAGTCCCTCCTGGTTCCCTTCTACCATCGTGTGAAGTAATGTTCTGTTGACTTTCTACCAGCTTTCCCATCGCTCGTTCGTTCATCTTCCCTTCTGATCAAGGGAAGCCAAGCTGTCTCTTGTCCGTGTGTACGTGGCCGAGTCACGGATTCCAAGGCTTTTCTCAGAGACCCGTGGGCGGAGGGTCCTCCCTCATGGTCCTGAAGTTTTCGCAAAGCTTTTTAAACTCAGTTTCAAGACAACACCGCCTCCGAAAGGGCCCGGTTAGTTTCGATTGTGGAGGACGCCGGTTAGAGACCTAAGGCTCCAGGGGACACGAGGAGACAGAGCTGCCAGGCGGCAGGTGGCAATGGGCAGGGGTGATGACATGGGGTTCCTGCAGAGAACATGTGCGCTCTGGGGCTGTCCTGCCCTAGACAAGTGCTGGGTTACGACAGGGCTCGGGGACAGGACTCGGAAACCACCTGAAGACAGGGACTCAGAGCAAAGTCGCCCCTCCATCCCCTGACAAATACAGGGTGCATCAAGGCCCCCAAAGACAAAAGGCAGGTGGTGAATGGGGACTGAGTCTTCCGTGTTCAGAGATTGTGGCCAGAGAGCAAACGGCTCTGCACCCTCAGCAGGCACCTGACTGTCTCTCAGCTCCTCGGTCACAGTCACAGCCTCCCAGGTGCCCGCCAGACAAACACGGAAACGAACCACCTCTGCCAGGCCGAGGAGCCAGGTAGCAGCAGAAAGGGGGACCTAGCACAACAGGCTGTTGGCCAGCCCGAGGTCAGTGAGCCCCACCAACCCGGGAGAGGAGAGAGCGAGCTTTAGTGGTTCGAAATGTGACCTTCGCACACACAGTTCTTTCTGGGGCTGAGAAGGAAACACGTTTTCTTACTACAACACGACACTGGTGCACTGGAGATAAGCATGGTCGTTGCTGAGACGGTGGTCTGCAAAGCCGAGTTCAAGGACCTTCAAAACCTAGTGCAAAATTGATGAAAATGGCACCCTGGGCGAACCGTGAGAAAATCGGCGAACACGTTAGGAAAACTGAAATGCTGGTCACAGGAGCTGTAGGAGGATAATAGAGACACAGTGAGGACGTTTTCGCAATAATAACTGAATTCTTAGGGAAAACTCATCAATCACATGATGATGAGAAGTGGAAATGTCATGGCAAGAACGACCCACACCTGCAGGTTGGAACAGCTCAACCTGCTGCAGAGAAGACTGAACAAAGAGCCCCATCAAGGCAGGCCAAGAGCCCCGATCGAGGACACAGGGAAAATCTTTCAAGTTTTTACATGAAAGCCCGGTCTTCTAAGAGAGAAAAATTCCTTTTTCCTTTGTAACACTGGAAGCAAAGAGAAAAAATATATATAAGCACAAATGATCACATATAAACCTCTCAGCATGAAAAAGAAAAATAAATTGACTTAATGGTGTGCAAGAAAATAGACCATCTTGCTCACAGATAACTGCTTGATGGAAGCGGGGGAAACAGGTTCAAACGTAAACACAGAACAAGGGCGCAGAGAAGACGGCGGTCCGTGGGCACAGGGGAGAAAGGCCGCGAGCAAGGGCAGGGGTCACCCACGGAGAGGGTGAGCCGCGTGTGCACGGGGTGAGCCGCGTGTGCACGGAAAACAGGATGCTTTGCTCCTGGCTGAACGAGCTGCCGCAGAAATGGGCGTGAGGCTAAGATGGTGCATTCTAGTCACTACATTCGGAATTGTTTTCATTTAATTGTCCAGTAAGTTACAAAGAAAAGTGCATTAATATTGCCAACTATGTCTGTGAATGTACCGGGGATAGGGAGAGGGAGGAGAGGGTCAGGGCATAAATGGACACGGAGGGAGAACATACAATACTGGGGGCGAACAGACAATACAATACACAGGTGACGTCTTACAGAATGGTGCACCTGAAACCTACATAATTGTATTAATCAGTGTCACCCCAATAAATCCTATAACACTGTTTTTAAAAATCTCCAAATATGCTTGTGGATTTGGCTATTTCTCCCTCAAATTCTGCCAGTTTTTGCTATAGCAATTTATATATGTATATATATGCTTATTTATCATTACCTATTATTCTGAGCTCTCTCTCTCTCTGTCTCTCTCTAGTAATACTCCTGTCTTGAAGTTTATATTGCCTTTTATTAATATAGTCTCCTTTTTTATGTTGTTTTCAGAGTTTTGCTCTTCTTTTTCTCTTTAATAATTTAAATATGTTGTTCTAATATTTTCGGGCTTCCGCTGTTTTTCGAAAGAGAACTCAGAGTGGATTACGTTTATGTCCCTCTTCAGGTAATGTATTTCTTTCCCTCACAATATCTCTTCTTTTTACATTTCAATGGTTCCGTGACCAAACGCTTAAATCAAGTTTCTATGTACTGGGTCTGCTTGGAGTTTACTGAGCTTCATGAATTTATATGTAAATGTTTTTAGAAAATGTGGGAAATGTTGAACCACTGTTTCCACAAATATTTTTGTCTGTCCCTTTCACTCCCTGCTCTCTTTATGAGACTCCAGTTAGATGGCATCGAAACACTGATACAATGTCTGAGGTCTCTGAAACACTGTTCCTTTCTCTGTGTCCCTTTGTTCCAGATGGAGTCATGGCTGTTGATCTGTCTTCCAGTTGACTGAGTGTTTCTACTGCTGGCTCCAATCAGTTGTTGAGTCTACTAGTTACTTTTGTATTTCAATTACCATGCTTTGCTCTGCGGACTGTTCACTCCCCATCCTTCCTGCTTCTGCAAGTTCTCTGTGCACTCCCTCACCGAGACCATGTCTGTCTTTGAGCGTATTGATCACAACTACTTACTTGTATATGGATCCACTCAGACTCAGACTGCCTTCTTTCCGGAGAAGGAACACACTTCTTAGAATATGTAGTAATTTTTCTCTGAAAAATGGATATTTACATACTATATTGGAGAAATTCTGGCTTTTGTTGGTTCATCTGAGAATTGTTTTCATTGCTGCTGGCATTTTGCTGTGCAGTTCCCGTGCTTGGGTCGGAGGGGAGTCTCGCCTGCCCACGGTGCACTGCCCAAGGTGAACAGCCATATGCCTGCGCTCAGTCTCACCGCTTCCTACTGGTCTCCCCCCGGGAGCCTGGGGTGCTCCTTTGCACATGTGGTCATGTCACCAGACCAGTTTACACTCAGATCATGAGCCTCATCAGTTTGACTGCTTTTCTGCTTCCAATATTTGATCCTTAAATGTTGACCCATTCTCCCGGCTTTAGCCTCTGCCTTCTGTCACCTTAACCTCTCAAAGATGGGAGTTTCACCTCTGTATCCTGGCAGTTTGGGAGACCCCCAGACAAGAAGGATGAGAAACTTGTGATTCTTATTCACTGCAGTTGCAATTTTTCTACATTTTTTTTCTATTGCTTTTAGAGAAAGAGAGAAGGAGAGAAAGATAGAAACATCGATGAGAGAGAACATCGATTGGCCGCTTCCTGCATGCCCCTCACTGGGTATTGGCTCACAACTAGGCCATGTGCCCTGACCAGGAATTGAACTGGCGACCTCTTGATGCATGGGTCAACGCTGAGCCACACTGGCAGGGCTGTAGTTGCAATTTTTGAAAACAAACTCTTCTCCAGCCCCTTAAAACTTCTCAGTATATTCAAATTGTCTGTGTGTGTATGTGTATGTACACAAAAATTTCAAATTTCTAATTGTTACCTATGTGATAATTTAGCCAATCACTTCACTTACCATGACCAGAAACCCTTCACACCAAGTTTGATTGGCTTTGCTAGCAAAGGGGACAGAAAAAAAATCCAAGAGCCCATCCAAATGAGATGTTTGCGGGAGTAAAAAGGGGAGGGGGAGACATCTGTGATAGGTTTTTCTCAGAGCAGAGTGTGAACACAGTCCCCCACTACCACGAATTGTGCAGTCGTGTTTCCCACACTTGGGGACATGGCAGGGTCAGCACATCCGGACAGCAACGGATAAGCCTCGCCCTGGGGGACCCACCTTCGTGATCATGGTGCCTCCCCTGCCGGGGCAGTACAACATCTGCAATACTTTCAACAATAAAAATAAATGTTGAAGAATGGGATTCCAATAGAAGACACCTTGATGAAGCCGGGCCTTAAACAGCGAGGTCCCCAGGGTGCAGGTACGCCCCAGTTTGACCCAGTGCTGCCCTCTACCGCCTCTCGCAGGTGACAGGTGGAAGGGAGCCCGGTGTGGGCAGAGCAGCGGATTTATACGTGAGACTTCGCGACCACAGCCCTGTCTGCGCACCTGTGCCCCTGTTTATATAAATGATGGTCCAGAACACCTGCAGCCATCCCCTGCATTTAAAGTGTCCACAGCCACCAGAGACAAACAGAAATGTTTTTAAGTGATAGCACCTTCAATCTAGTCCTTACATAATCTTCAAGTAATTATTCAAGAAAAATTGGTAGTTAACAACCAAAAATACCTAACCACACAGGAAATAAGACACCATGACCAAAAGAATAAGGGAAAAGATACATTGAAACAATAGACTTCAATTTCCTTACATATGGGAATTATCCAACATGTATGATATAGCAAATATGACTCTAAAGAAATATAAATTATGAAAAAAATGTAAAAATCTAGAACTTACTAAAAATGACTTAGCAGACTTGCATGAGAAACAAATAGAACTTCTAAAAGTAAAATATGAAATTAAAACTCAAAAAATATGCTTTAAACATAGCCGTAGCAGCCCTGGTCAGTATAGGTCAGCATCACCCGTGGACTGGAAAGTCCTGGGTTCAATTCCAGCCAAGGGCACGTACCTCAGTTGCAGTTCACCCCAGCCCCAGTTGGAGTAGTGCAGGTGGCAACCAATTGATGTGTCTCTCTCACATCAATGTTTCTCTCTCTCTTCCTCCCTCTCTCCCTCCAGCTCTATCTGAAGATTAGTGTAAAAATATACTCAGGTGAGGATCAAAAAAAATAAAATATATATATATATATATATATATATATATATATATATATATGGCCATAGCAAAAACATTAGTAGATAAAAGAATATATCAAAATAAAGTACCCATAATGCAGTGCAGAAGGCAAAAAAGTGGAACTATGAAACACTAAATAGAATACAGAGAGGACCCTCTAAGATCGAATATAGTCTCCTTCAATTTCCAGAAGACAAGCAAAGGGAGAAAATGTGGTGAGCTCAATGAAAGGGATAAAGACTCGAGATTTTATTTTGAAACTCACTGTATCGTAGAGACTAATAAAATGAGTATGGAACCAGTATGTAGGGTTGAACACGATGTGTTCACAGTTATTCTACCCACTCGGGTATTTTCCACCCATACAGAAGTGATGTGAGCACGTGAACGTAATACCGAGTGTGTCACCTCCAGGCAGAAACACAAAGTGTTCGTTCAAACATCTCTTCCCTGCGCTGTCAGTCAGTGCAAACTGCGTGTGAGTGCAAAGGACCTCACCTGGCTCTCAGGTGGCTGCGTCGAACGTGCAGAGTGAACTCAAAATAGACATTAGTTGGTTTAAAACACAGACACTTGGGGATGTTTTAACTCAGCATAAACAAAATAAACGTCACTGAAACATGAAATTAAAAAATAAATCACTGGAACAAACATGACTTCAGAACACAGGAATAAGTGTGAGCACAATCCAAGCAAAAATCAGTGGGTTATTTAATAGTGTCGCCATGTTTGACTTTTTACTAGAAGACCCGAATAGTGGGCTTTACATTCACATACAAATTAGGCAACATGCTAAAATAAATTGTATTGGTTGAATGTTGGAAGGAAGGAAGGAAGGAAGGAAGGAAGGAAGGAAGGAAGGAAGGAAGGAAGAAAGAAAGAAAGAAAGAAAGAAAGAAAGAAAGAAAGAAAGAAAGAAAGAAAGGAGTTAATGCAAACAGAAAACCTAGCAGACTGCAAATAAGGGTCAAAGGGATTCTCTTCTGAAGGGAGGCTTGAAACCCAGCCATTTCCAAAAGAAAAATCGGCATATAGGATGATAGGAAAATCCAAACCTTTATATAACAAAAGGCAGCATAAAAAATGCAAGCCGACAAACATGGGAGCGGGGAATGTGTTGCTAATTATAATATAAAACGAGCTACTACAAATTTGCCAGAAGGGAGCCAGTGATACAAAGAAAATTAAATGCCATAATTAATCAAAGGGCAAAGTTAAAGTCCAGGAAACACAGGAAAAGATCCCATCGCTAGAGGTCAAATGTAAATGACAATGACAACAAGATGGCACTTTGCAGCCTGGGAAGGTGGAAGACCTCAAACCTGTTTCTAGTTGGTACACGTGCCATCCGAGTCTGTTACGCGAAACCGTGAAGTCACCGGCAGCTGCGTGACCCTGTGTCCGTTTATTTTCCTGCCGTCGTAAACGATGAGAACCGTAGTGACGTGTTAGAACACCGTGTTCTGTGCACACAGCTGCAGAGGTCAGGAGTCTGAATGGTGTCTCTGGGTGAAAAGGAAGCTCTCAGCGGGGTGGCCAGTGCTCTGGGGGCTCAGGAGTGATCAGCCTTTTTCCTCTCCCGGCTCCGGGAGGCCAGGCCGGCTGCAACCTGGGCTGGTGGCCCACCCCCATCGCGAGGCCACCGGTGGCCGGGGGAGGGGGGGGGTCTGCCGCATGCTGCATCCCTCTGATGGCCCGGCCTCCCTCCCACTGACAAGGCCCGGCGGGGCCACACACCAGCGCATCCAGACAACTGATAATCTACCATTTCAAAATGAGCTGATTAGCAAATTCCATCTGCAAACTTAACTCCCTGTTGTCACAGAACACAGCATTTTCATAGGTTCTAGGGATCCGAATGTGGACTTTTGGGGGGTGTTATTTTGCCCAGCACACCCCAGTGCCAGGAAAGCCTGGGCGGGTGTCCCCGGTACAGAAATCCTCGCCTCTGCACCACCTTGCTGCTGAAAAGACAGGACAAGTTAGTTCTCAGCTTATGCCTAAGACAAGGGATCCCTGACCGTGGAGTTTAGAGTGTGTTTATGCCAGCATCCTTTGCTGCGGAAGGAAGGGGGAGTTGGCAAATGCAGGAACTTCCCAGGGGCTCACATTCCCTGCACTCCTGGGAGAGCCCTGGCAAGGTGCCCCCCCCCGCCCCCGTCCTCCTGCTGGTACCTCGCTGTCCCAGACTACTGGCCTGCATGAAGGCTCCGGTTCCCAGAGAGACCCCCGTGGTGTGGGGGGGGGGGCGGGGTGACCCACTGACAGCTGCTCTCAGTCCCCACCACCCCACTGCTCCTCTGCTACTTGTTTTCCCAGCGCTGCTCCCAGAGCCTATGCGTCAGCCTTTGTCACAGAGGGTCGCCTTCAGCAGTGAGCACCGTCTCAGTATGTCACACAGGCCTGAAGAGACTCGCGCATATCTGAGACAGGCGGGCTGCACTGTGCTGGGGCGCACGACGCTGCCCCGGGATTCGGGGTCAGAGCGGAGGAGCCAGGCCTGCGGCTCTGCTTCCCTCTGCGCAGTTCCACCGGGAAGGTCGCAGGTGGGGTGACCGGGTCGGGGTGCACCTGGCGTGGGCTTCGCTGCTTTCGTTGACAGCTCATAGGAAGGCATTCGTCCACCTGGCTGTCGACTTGGAGCCAATCACTAAACCTTTTCCAGTTCAGTTCACCCTAAAAGGGAAAATGACTACTTCCCACACTTTTGGAGGCGATGGCATAGAAAGTACTCTGCAGGTGGCAGACCGGCGGTTCTGTGAAACTGTTGCCAGGCTCCGTTAAATTAATCGGAGGCTTGGTGCAAATTGCCAGTGGTTCTCAACAGGATCCTCACTAACTATTTGGAAGTGTGGCAGTGGTTTTGTCTTGTCAGAACGGGAGCAATGCACTGAGTTTGGGGGGATTGGGTCCGTGAGAGGCAGATGACCGAAGTCACAGGACAGCCCTGCCAGACAGAGCTGGTCTGTCCTCCCCAGCTGAGATCAGCCCCCTGACGCTCCTGTGGGTGGGTGAGGGCTGAGTCCAGGACTTAACACTCGGGTGTGGGGGAAATGGGACAGCTGGCTGCAAACGTGAAGCAGACCACCCACTCACACCGCACACAAGAATAAACTCAAAATGCGTAAAAGACTTCAATGTGACTCATGAATCCAGAACGTAATCCAGTACTCTTCAGGAACATGAGTAATTCCTTTACTGGGCTTGAGTAGTCATGGAATTACCCACAAACACAATTATTATGTGAGCTGAGAGAAGAGTATGCTTTGTTTCGGTCATGTTCTGACATTTACCAAAAGGTGTTCACAATGTCAGAAAATCAAAATACCACTGGCCACACCACTCGTGGTATTTATCACCAACCCAGATATGTGTCAGTCTGTGTTTATAACTGTGTGCAATATTTCTGTACGCGAATATCCTTAACTGCGCCCCACTGCAAAATGTCACGACTACAGAAAAGTGTGACTTCTAAGTAATTGAGTTGCCTGCTCTTGAATATATATCTAAGCGGACGCAGGCATCCAGTTATGTCATCATTGAGAATATTTGTCCCCCAGTTATTAACGTGTGAAAACGCATATACTTTTATTATAAACTACTTTCCTTTCATATTTTTATTCATTTTAAAGATGGAATATTTGGTGTTTGGTTTACTTGTGTGTGACTGTAGGTTATATTATCCATGCACTTTTTTTCAAATTGTAGGTTGATTACATTATTGTTTAACATATCATTTTAGGGGGAAAAAAACGCAGATTATAACAGAAAATGCAGCAAATTTGAGTTGACAGACCTGAGATTAAATTTTATTTCTAAACCTCAGTAACTGTCTGATACCAGCTGGTGCTGACCTCCTGACTCTGTTCTAAAAATTGTTGGAACAGCCGACGACGAAATCAAATGATAATGTACAGAAATGCTTGTTTTAATGTACTCGGATTTGTTAATATATGTATTCACGGTTTGCATTCATTGTCTTGTTTAAGAAAGTCCTTCTCACTGCAAAGAGAAAAATATTCTGATTCATTGTTTTCAAAGAATATTAACTTTTAGTCTTCACATTTAA